TAGGTAGGTCACTCAGATGGTCTTTAAAAAAATTCAACCTGATATGTTTTATTCCAATTTTGCTCCTCCCTTGGACTATGCTGCTCTTACCCTCAAGACTCCTTGTGTTATGTTCACCAGAATCACTGTTTTTATAACAACTTGGATAGATCCCTTGGACTTCCTCTTCTTGGCAACATCTGCTACCTACCACAAGAACCCACTCTAAAGTACTTATCAAGAATTGCACTTTAATACTGGTACTTCTCATGACCTAGGTACATAAGCAGTATAAATCTTACTTTGTCAGCAATGGATGATAGTGATTCTTGACTAATGACCTGGATAAATGGGACATTTATTAGTGGTCTTTGCTTTCAAGTTACTCAACTACTATGCATCACTATCTGTTTCTGTAGGAAAAGGGAGACTTATAAGGCCTCCTGGTCTCTTCCTTGGTGGTTGCAAGGAATGATAATGTGTAAACTCAAGTCTTGTCCCTTCTTTCCTTCTATGAACACGGAATTTCCATTCCACTTACCTAACACTGGCCTGATGGTCTAGTAGTATGATTCCTTGTTAGGGTCGTGGAAGTATTACGTCCATCGAGGAGGTCCCGGGTTCAATTCCCGGTCAGGCCCAGACACGACGGAGGGAGTTTCTTATCCTGTCATACCTGTCATTTTTTGCATTTGTGCCACAGGACCCATTGATGATGTGCTTCTGGGATCCGTCTTCATTCTCCCCTAGAAGCCCAATATCAACAGCCACATCGGTGACTACCACTCGAAGCCTGGCTTCAAGAGTTATAGGTACTTCAGGGTGAATGTGTTGGTAATTCAACCAAGTAGAGAAGTGGTCCTACTTCCTCGGTCAGTATCCCTACCCGCCGTGGAAAAGTAAAGTGTTCTGATCATCCAACCCCGAAAACATGGAACCATATATTCTTCGACATGTTTGATGTGTGCTTTTGTTCTATTTACACCACGTGCCTATTGGATTGCAAAGGTCGAACCTGCGCTGGTACACTACGATACGCCAAATACTCAGTCAGTATTGCTTTATGATGTAGGTTTCTTTGGTGCCGGCAAAGCTTTTGCTGCCTGTTGCCATATACTTTGCCCCTTGGAACCATTGCGCCAGATTTCCATCTCTGTGCAATCTCTGCGCACGTGAAGCAATACCAGCCTCGGGTCACACAAGAGTGGTGCCTTTTCCTTCATACCGCATGGCCTCGTTAAGACCGCCTGCTGGAGGGAAGGGAAGATCAACCCATTACGAGCCATCTATGTCCTCGGAATCAGACCAGGGTTCGTACCGAATATGAAAGATACAAAAGGTTGTCAAAGGACAGTGTCATTGGCACATTCTTTTCCCCCATGACCCGCAAGTGTGTTAATTGCCGGAGGAACTGAAGCCCGCTCGGCGTGTTCGAGGCAATACGAGAATCCCACCGCGGAGGGGACAGAAGGAGCGTAAAGTCTCTGCACATCGTGTGCCTGAGTTCTGGGCCTTCCGTAATCTTCCTCAGTCCTCGTGCATTGCACGCGAGTACACGGACATTCGCACATGCGCGCAGGATATATTTTGCGCGTTGCGAGTCTTCCTTTCGGAGCGGAGAAATCCAGAGGACGATGGACTAGATTGCCCGGGCCGGTGATTGAGTGGGGATGACGTGGCAAGCACTCGAAGTTTTTGTGCACGAGTCTCGCGAACGATGTAAGCTCTTCTGTAGAGCCCAGGATGATCGGCATGAGAGGTAAACATGCGCGCAGGGCCAAACCGTTAATAGATCGTGAAACGAGGACAAGTGCCCTGAAGGCTTCCCGGGGGAAGTCTGCACTATATGACAGAACAAGAAGCTGAAGGTCTTCTGGGAGCCGCTGAAAGCCAAACAGGCCTTTCGTTGACCAGCTCTTTCGGATAGCCCTCTGATGTCGTTGGAGCTCTATAGCGGCAACTATGGCGGCCTTTCACTGCTTTGATATCTCGAGGTACCCAACGTTCTTAGAGCGAACCGGGGGACGACGGGGCTCGCTGGCTGTGGAGATGCTGTAGATGAAAACGAGTGAGGCTGATATGATGAAAAACGCAGCCCATCCGAGCTCCCGAAGTTGGGAAGTGAGGGTATCGTGAACCAGAGGCTCTTGAACATATGATGTCTGTGACATAGTCTGAAAAAGCATTTTTATTACGCCATGAGTAGTGAATTCCCGCCTGCCACCCGACACTTACACAGAGAACAATGGGTTCAAAAGTCTTTCTTCGAACTGAATGAAGTGACTTGCCAGATTGCACCTGCTGGCAAGCTTAATAACATGCGCTAGGCATGAGGCAGTGTAACGAGCATATTAAACCAGAGTCTAGAGTGGTCATCACTTGCCGTATGTAATGGTTAAGGCGGATTGATCTTATCACCTAGACCGATCATTGACGAGTATTTTATCTGTCTCCCCCGGTCCCTCCCTTTTTCAGCTTTTCTTGTTGTGTTCTAATTACACGCAGTGAACCGATACGCTGTCTGAAAATGGTCATTGTCCATTCTGAGCTACAACTGGGCTGCGTTGATGGTTTTTTTGGACTCACTGTGCCCTTCCTATCTTCTCATTCCGATATCTCTCCTGTTCGAGCAAGAACAAGATATACAGAAAACAAGACATGATCTAATCGAATCTAGACGCTCGATCTTGCATCGAACTCAATAGATCAGCATCTAGGCTTAGAGTACGAGATAATAAACACAGGATATGGACATCGAGCCAGGTAAAGTGAACAGGATATACATACTCTAAATAAACTTACTCCAAAGCAAGTAGTACTCATGGACGTCATGAGAGGGTGAAGGACGATGTCCACCCATCACGTCAGAGTCCGCAGTGCCTATCCTACACCAACACTTTGACATAATTCGTTGAAATCATCCCACTCCTCGGACTCCCTCACATGAAAAGACCAGCAATAACCAACGTACCAGAAAAGAACACAAAATTCCCAAACAGATCCCTACCCTTCCACCACCCCTCCAACTCAGACACAGCCTGACCCTGATAAATATTCCCCTTACAGAGGGACAGCTCGTTGTCCCCCACGGCGTTGTAACTATACATACGAATCTACATCAGCACGCTGTAACGGTAACTGGACCTCACCGCTCTGAATGGATGTAAATTTACTCGAACAAAGCGACGACGGTGTGGGCTGTGGTGGGTGTTTGTGATGGTAGAGGTGGGGGAGGCGCAGACGCAGGCGCAAATCCGCATCCATATCTACATCCACATTCAAAAGGCTGTTGACCCTGCGCCTGAGCCTGGGGTGGAATTTCGTTCCACGCGCTCGACGAAACTGACCATCTATTGAGCTGCTGACATCAGCTCCGGATCCTTTAAAATGAAAAAAGAGAACAAATATACGCACAAAGAACACTCCCCCTCTACCATCCGACCACACACCGACCCACCACCCGTCCTTCGTGATCTTTAAGACGTTGATGATCTCACCTTTGAAGGGTGGTTAAACTCGGCCACCATCACGACAACTGAAGCGAGGTGCCAGACCAGGAAACGTACCTGGTAATCGTGTAAAGCCCTTATGATGGACTTGATGTGGTGCGTTCGGACCTTTTTCAGTGTGGAGTCTTGACGGGTGCGAGGAGGCAGGGTTAAAGTGTTGGCTGTGGTAATAATTCCAGTAATGGCGACGGGTTTTGACGTCCTTGCAAGTTGGAATTGTTCAACGAACGAAGGAGTCCGATGGTTGGCAGACGGAGTAATAGGGGGCACGTCGCTAGATGCGGCGTCGCCTTGTCCTCCCTTATCTCGCCCTGAGTCAACTTGTCCTGGGGTGTTGGAGCAGGAGATAGACAACCGTCCCAAGTTAGACGTGCTTGTAAATTCATTCGAGCTCATGGAGTAAATAGGGACCAGAGTTGAGAGAGTATCTCGATGAACGAGGCAATGTAATGAGTTCGCATTCTGTCTAAGGTTGAATCTGGGTCAGAGGAAGGTCCCAGGTAAATGCAGTTACGCTCACCTGAGAAGGAATCGTTGTCGTGGGCTATGTTCCACTCAGATTCCTTCTCCTGTTCGCGTTCACGTGATCGAACGCGACCTGCAATGGGATTTTAACCCAACATGACGTCATACCTGTAAAATTTGATTCAGATCATGGCCCGCCATAATCGATAATCGCTCTTGCTTCGTGGTTTCATATTGTTCTTTGATATATATAAAGCCCCTCCGAGTCCTTCTCAGCCACTCCAGTCACAATGTTGCCCAATTCGTGCTCGATGAATTCCTCGGTATTCCAGTGAACACACCCGACGAAAATGCGTGGAATGGTGCCTGGAACGGGCTCTTGACCACGTACTTCCCCATCAGAGAAAGTTGCACCGTAACACCTCAGGTAAGAAATTCATACCATGAGTTTGAAGGAGATTTAACTTGTCACCACCAGGTTCCGCCCCAGACTAGGGAAGCTGTCGATTTTGTTGTCCTCTTCAAGATCGAGCATCAGAGGATACCCGCTATGTTCGTCGAGCTCCAACCAGCTGTCCCAAATTCTTCTGCTTTGCGCGATATAGCAATTAGGCAACCGAATTTTGCATTACCAGCATGTCACCGCTTGATTCCTGTTGGACATACCCAGAATATTGTCATATTTTTCATGAGAAAGATTCTCTCCAGGTGAACTTATGAATAAGTATTGGAAGGTCGATTTGACTGCACAACCGTCACTCGTCACTGCCTTCATGTTCGAAATCATCGCACTGTAGCCTCATCATCAGGCTCCGAAGTTCGGTTTTTGTATGATGTCATTATAACTAATGTCCATATTGCCTTCACAATTCAAACCACGTTCAAAGTGATGTTACGAGTTTCAAGAAATGGGAATAAAAGAGCCTGTAACCATGATCAAATTTTTCGTCTGATATATCATTTTTCCAGACGTGGAACTCACCCCTATTAATGTTGTATGGACCACTCCAAGCTGGGCTTTCCCTTTGGGAAGAGTTGAAGGGATAGCGATGGTAAAATTTTGATGAGGGGGCTTGGAGACCGGCGCGGTAGTATGAAATTGCGGGTCATATCCTCCGTTGTAGAGGACAGTGCCCACGCCATCACCCACGGAGCGACATCCAGATGTAGGGCATGAGATCACGCCAATGACTACCGCAACTTCAGTGGAACCTGTCAATGTGTCCTGGCAAGGGATCAGGGAAAAGGAATGTTCGATTAGTTGGATAGGACACTTACTGGACGGTCTATCTCAACAGTGAGATTGGATCCTGGGGTTACGGATGCACCATCTGCAGGGTAGCCTATGACAATAGACTGAGCCTTGACAGTGGAAAAAAGTACACCGAGCGTAGTGACGACGAAAGTGAGATTGAGCTTCATTTGAGGGCGATAAATGGAGGTGTTAGGGAAAGGCTTCCTACCGGAATGCAACGCCCTACCCACCCTTTTTATACAAAGAGGCTCGTAACTCTCCAAGTGGAGAAGAGGGCATCAATAATAGACGAAACGCAGTGGCAAAAGCCTGACTGGCCGGCACCACGGCCTCAGGAAGAGTTGACAGATAATGGTAAACAAATCAAAACTCTCATCAGTTTGTGTTCCCCTTCTACTCATCGGCGTCAATA